GCTCATTTCTTTCAGAATCTAGGATCTTGTTAAATACAGTGCCTCTCTGAAAGCAAAATCTAAACTTTCAAACTGTTTTATTTTCAGCCTGAAATAGGAATAGGAGTTTATTCTGAATAGGAGTTTATATTTTTAATCTGTCATTTAGAGTTAGACCAAAGTGAATGAGTGACACTTGGCCAAATCTTGTTCCAAAAGGCCTAAAAAATATGTTTCTTTATTCTGAATTTCTTTTCTTTTTCTTTAAATCTTTGCATTACAATCTTACGTACTAGTGTCAGTGCCTACGATCTGTAGCCTCAAATCAGCCTAATGTTTAGGTGTCGAGGCATTGTTGCAAAAAGGAAGATGGCTTCAGAGTAACAACTGCTTGCAGATAGAACATTAGCTGGAATGTCTGAGGCACTAAGCTAGCCAGAGAGGGTTTGAGGTATTTTTCATTGCCAACAACTGGCACTACCTTTTTATTGCATAATTATTATTATCATTCAAGATCATGGTAGAAATACTTAATTTTGAAGGAAGACTATTTGAAAATGTTGTTAAAAGGTTTTTTTCTGCAAAAGACTGTTGTTATTATTAAGCAAACCAGAGCAGGAAGTTTGTTACATACTGCTGTTATTTCCTATTCCACATTCAGCAAAATTCATATGCTGTTCTTACAGCAAGGAATGTACTATACAAATCTGCCTATTACTAGTTTGCTGTCTCTTTCCTGATCTACATTTTGTCCTCATAATCTTAGATGGACTGTAACAGCTGGCTCATGTGTTAAGAATCACCTGAAGGGGCTTTTCAGCCTGAATGATGGAACTTTATACTGGAAAATTATTTCTCTGCCCTTGAATGTCAGGAATCTTTGTATTCATATGTTCATATGGAAATACAGTTCCTTCAGCTCTGTTGATGCATGGCAGTGCCTTTTCTAGTGTCTGTGACTAGTTGAAGTGTGAATATCCACGAATATTCTTAGGAACTCTCTGTAGCTACTTAAACCCCTCAAGTCTGAAATGGTCTCAAGCTTCTCATTTTTAATGGAAAAAAAGCATTTACATTTTCTTGCAGCTTTGCTTTCAGTGAGTGCTCGTGCTTCCATGAAGAGCAAGGATTTGCATGGTCTGAGTGGAAGAAATGTAGAGGAAGAAAATGGGTATGTCTGAGGGACAGGTTAAGAGAATATGGCTATCATTAGTTATGTCTTCTAGCTATGTCTACTACTGTGGTGCTTAAAAGATTTCATAATATATTTAGTATTTTTTTGAGACCTGCTCTGATATCAGTTGCAGTGGTTTTGGCAGTGTGCAACCTATGATCATGAGATAGTGAAAGCAGCAGTAAAAGGTATGCTTGTCATTTCTCTATAAAAACACTCTTTGAAATCACAAATGAATTCTTTCATGCTCATGTGTCTGTTTCGTTCATTTTGCCATCTTTAGTGAACAGTAGAGAACTATTGATGAAAGCTGTTTTCAGTAACCATGTACAGTTAGTGGCACAGAAAAGCTCTCACTGGGTGCAGGGGAATATAGTCTCCAGAGAAAAAGATCAGCCCTTGGGACTGGAAGCTGTGTGGATTCACCAAATCCACAGTATATTACAAACTAACTCTGGAAATAAATAAACCCTGTAATTGTATTTCTGAAGGAGGATGCATGTTATCATCACCATACCTTACCACATTAAAGTTATCTGTTTTCCAAACAGTGTACACAAGTGAGGAAGAAATTGGCCTTCCTACATGGAAATTAAACACAGACCAAAGAGCTAAAGCAAAAAAAGAACATTTGGCAAATAATCTCAAAATTTACTTGTTGATATTTAGTTTTAAATTTTGGATGATTCAAGGGGTTTGAGGGGTTTTTTTCTGAAGAAAAAAATATTAGTATGTAACCCCTGAAAAATGAACTTACTTTAAATGCTGAAGGCTGGGACCTTAACATAGAATAAAACATTTAACAAGAACTCTGTCTCAGAAAATAGTGTCTCAACAATTGACTTATACTATCTGATTCTCTGGTGCTGGTGAAGTCCAATAGAAAACATTGTTCTGATCTCTCACAAAGATAAATTGGACTCTAAATTGTTAGGAGTATTGGGAATGTAAGGTTTATGATCACAGAGCAAGAGAGTGTAGGAGCCAGGTAAGGGCACATCTTTGAAGAAGACCTCTTGTTCTGAAAAAAATCAAGAGGCAAAAGGAATAAAAGATGTAGTTCCATCAACTTATGCTTCATGTGCTCTTCCAGAAGGTCAAATCCACATCAATCCAAAATCACGTTTTCTTTCTAAAAATTTGATACTTATTTTCATCAGTTTCCACTTTCAAATAATATATACACTGGTCTACAGATTGTTTTTATTTTTGAACAGTTAGTGTCTGCTTCCAGCAGCAGTGCTCTGCATCAGCTAGCTCTCACAGGAAGTATTTTAGAAAAAAATTTAAATTATTGGCATTTATGATAGATAAACTAATAAATGGGGAAAAAAAAAAACCAAAAAACAAAACTAAAATCTGTACCTAAATGAGCAGGCACATTTATTTTCTTCCAGCCTAACTGAAAAGGAGCAATTTTCTACAGGTTTTTAAATCTGAGTATATGCTATATACATATATGTGTGTGTGTGTATATATATACATTAGATTACTATACGAAATAAAAATAAAACAAGTATTTTCTGTTGTTTGCAAAGATGCTGGTAACCTACTATGTTCTGATTTACCATTTAATTTTTCTGTTGAACACTTATTCCTCTCTATTACATTTGGAAGTTGTTTTTATAAAGTCCTTCTAGTGAGAAAGCTGGTTAATTTTTCCGACATGCTTTGTGGAAACTGGCACTGCTTCTACAAACATACAATTTATATGTGGGACCTGCAGGGTAAAGAGGAAAGGTACATGTTTAGACATGGAAAGGCATAGCCAGATATTTATTTCTTCTATTCATTTTATTAAAAGTACATAGAGTAGTCTATCATTTTTATTCTTTTTTTAAAAAATCATTCAAACCCAAACAGGTTTGTACTAAACCTGTAGTTGCTAAGATTACAAACAGCAGCTATTATGTATCAACATTTTCCATGAAAAAATCTGTGTCATTCTATGGGAATTAATAAATAATAAATAATAAACCACAACTTGTTTGTCTAAAATACAGTTAACCAATATAGACCCGGGTTACACTGGGTCTATATTAATGATAAAGTGAAACTAGCTTTACAGTAATTATATTGAAATAACTCAATTGAAAATATACCTTTCTATATGATTTGCAGAAGCTCATAGTGGCTTTTTTTAGTATTAGGTGTCTTGCAAATAAATCATCAATATTCGTGAGCTACCTGCAATACTTACTCTTTCAGTATTTTAGTAAATGGTACAAGGAATTAATTACTTAATTCCTCTTAATAAGAGGATTTTATACACTATTAATCCCATTTTTTAAGACCATAGTATCAATAAACATTTTTACTTACTTTGTTCCAATTCCTTATCTATAAATTAAGCTATCAACTCCCGTAAAAATGGTTTCAGGTTTTTTTGCCTCTAATGAGTGATCATCACTTGCTTCTGTGGTTAGAATTTTTTCTCCTCTTTATCTAGATTACTTGTTCTCAGACTCTGATTTGTGAACCGTTAGTGATCTGTGAACTATGAGCCTCAAAATAAAATGATCTGCAAGCAAAAGCTATTTGGGACTGGGGAGGTTGAAAGTGTGCAAAGTCTTTTTCAATGAGTACTGTGCAGAGTGAGAAACCGGAAGAACACATGACTTTCAAAGATGCATTTCTTAATTTTCCATTTTCAAGGAATGATCAGTTTTTGATTAGCATGGTAATTTCCATTTTTGTCAGAACTACTGTGCAGTATTCTGCTTTTGTAGTTTCTAACAGTTTGCTCTGTTCTCACTGAATTTGGTATGAGTCTGGTTTAGAGTGATTAATGAAGACATTTACTAAACAAGTGCAATGTATTATTACTGGACTCAGAATACACTTCTGTACCATATGCAAGGCTGATTGATAAGAATGTATTATAAATAGAACTGAGACAGACTGTCTCAGTTTCACCTATCAGTCACTGAAAGCAAAATATTTTTGATTATTTAACCCCCATACTACTTTGTACCATGTTTGCAGACTGTTTTAGGGGTTCAGTATTTCTTTTTTCATAGTAACTTTCATCATAAATACAATTTTTAATTGAAACAAATTATTGAACCTCAGCAATGATGATAAACATGTGGTTCTCTAATGCATCATCTTATACAGAATTATTTCAGCTCATTAATATTCTAAACTATTGTGCTTTGAAATGGAGATTTCTCTGAATGAAGTGTCCTGTGTCTTTTAAAATTTGATGGATGAACTCTCTCTATCAAACTATGTTTTTTAAATGGCTGTGAACACAATTTTGTTGTGTGCTTCGTAACACTGATCTGAGAAGGAAATTATATTTTTTCACAGTGCACTTAATAGTTATTGATGCTCTTTCATTTATCTGTGTACTAAAATTATTTCTCAAAAAATTCAGGGTTTTACTGAAATATTTTTATACAAACTAAATATTAACATCCAAGCAACAGTATATGTGTTTGAGGGCTAATGTGAAATAGATGAAATATGGCAAATATTCAAAAAATTGGCTATCTACTTTTACTGGATTAGTATTGTTATTAAATACTGGACCGTGAAAGGTGAGTTATTGAAGATATAGGACATATGTTTAGCTAGCATGATTTTTTTTTTTTCTTTAGTGTATCTATACCTACTAGTATTTCTTAATCATCTGGCCCACTGAATTTACAGATACCCATTATGGAAAGAGCTACTACCAGATGATCAGTTCTTGTGGATGATAAAATAAATTTCTTGTGTTGGATCCTTAGCAGTTGTTGAACATTCTAGCTCCCTGTACTTTAAAAAACCTACAGTGGTAGGTGAGACTTGTAATAAATGTCAGTTTTAAATGTATTAAATAATTACATATTTTTCGCTGCAGGTGAAGTGTGATCAGTACTGGCCAAGCAGAGGCACAGAAACTTACGGACTAATCCAAGTGACCCTTTTAGACACTGTTGAGTTGGCAACGTACTGTGTTCGTACATTTGCACTCTACAAGGTATATACACTTACATGTACTTACAATGTACTTTCAAATTTAAATTCCTTCCTTCCTTCCTTCCTTCCTTCCTTCCTTCCTTCCTTCCTTCCTTCCTTCCTTCCTTCCTTCCTTCCTTCCTCTCACTCTCTCCCTCCTATCACCCTGCCCTGCTTCTTTATTTTGCCTCCTGCCTTTCCTGCCTTTCTCCCTTACTTCCTCTCTCCCTTTCTTCCCTTTCCCTCCTTCCACTTTCCTCCCTCTTTTCCTCCTAGCAGCACTGAATGATGAAACTTCTTCTACAGACAGAGTTTATTTTTCTTACAGCGTGGAGTTTTGTAAGTTAATAAAGAGCTCTCCGTGTGAAAAACATTTAACTGAATGAAATGCTAGCTACAGCTCTGGCACTTCTTGTGATGCATTACTGTGCAGTATAGTTAAAGCTCTTACATTGTTTGAACCCTGCAGTTTAGATTATAAGAAACATTTCCCTCCATACCCCAAGCTCTGTTTGTTTCTGGCCACAAATGTGATTTGAATACACTTCTCTGGTCTATATGCTTCTGCAGTTGTTTCATTGACAAGTGCCAATATCACATCAAGTGGCAGTTTTCTCATGAAGTTTTTTAATTTCATAGAATGGTTCAAGTGAGAAAAGGGAAGTGAGGCAATTCCAGTTCACTGCCTGGCCTGACCACGGTGTCCCGGAACACCCAACACCATTCTTAGCTTTCCTGCGACGAGTCAAGACCTGCAACCCTCCTGATGCTGGACCTATGGTTGTACATTGCAGGTAAGCCCAGAATTTCTTTCAAAGCATCTTATGTGAAGATTACTGCTGGTTTGTTGCAGATGAAAACATTTCAAAGAGATTTCTGAGTCTGTCAGAGAAAAAGATGGTTGTGTTGCAAATCGTAGACCTGACTCTGGCACTGCTAACTGGGATGGGCTAGAATTATTTTCTTTGGTCTGAGCAAGAGGAATTAATTTCAGAATATCTGAAGCTCTACAGGGAGAATGCCTGCAGGGAGAATACAAAAGTATCTATGGCTTTGAGAAAGTGGCATGAAAAAGAAAGAGGATAGTGAGGGTTTAAGAACCTGAATATTGAAGAAAGTGTATTTTGAGCAATGAAACAGCTTTTGAAATTATTACTTCTATTGTGTATGAAAGTAAAGAACATGAAAATTAAGAAAGATAAGTGGCAACTTTTATTGAAAATAAGTAGAAACCTTAATCTGTATTCAAGGTTAAATCCTCAGTTTAGGACTGAGGAGCAGGAACTGCAAAGGATGTACCTGGGGAACAAGCTGAGCTCAGTTCCAGGGAAATGAGTGCTCCATGCTGTTTGCAAGGTAGCAAACCTCTTTCGGCATTATAAGGTATGAATTAATAAGCTCTCATGAAGAAAACATCAGCTCCTTTTAAATTTCTGGAAGTATGGAAAATGAAGAGATGGGGATTCTTTGGAAATCTTTGACAAGAGTACATCTTTAAGAAAGCCTTAGAATCACACTGATAAGAACATTGTCAGAACATATGTGCCAATTCTGATAGAAGCAAGCTGTAAGATGGGTTCCCTTCATTTCAGGGCTGTGTTGTTACCATTTACATAGCTTACTGTCCTGCCCCTTTCAAAGGGAACTCCTAAGATCACTGATTTTTGTGAACTTCATTTGGGGATACCTTCAGTTAGTAAGGCCAAAGGGTACTACTCCCTGTTCACTGAAGCTACAAATGCTTACTATATTTGAAACTAGTCTTGCTTTTGTCATCCAAAAACTGAGGAATAGGAACTACAAAGATTACAGCATACCACCTCCTCTAGTTCTGGCCTCTTGCATATTGGTAAGCCAGCCATGGAAGCTCGTTAGTTGAACATTTTTAAAGTGATCAAAAGAGGCTTTTGTAAATGAGACAGGAAAATAAAGTCAACAGGGAAACAAAATAAGCAGGACTTCAATGTTGAAAGGCACAGACTGTTCAGAAAGATCAGAGAACATGGAAGACAGATATTTAATGTTTATTGAAACACCACAGTTAGGAATATGAAATAAATATAAATAATAAGAGAAAGCTATTTATACAATTTGCAAAGTATTTCCTGAATGGAACCAAATCTTTTTGTACCTGGATTTACAGGATCTTAAAACATTTTGAATATTGCCTAGAATTATAGATTGCCTCAGCTGTAATTTCATCAGCTTGATCCATATAGAGCATACCTCCAAAGGTGCTCAGCAGTGAAGATGTTATGCTCTAAATCAAAACCAAAATTAATAGAAAAAATGAATCCTCCCACTCGAGGAAAGCTGTTAAGTTAGTATAATTACCTAAATTCTCTTAGTGCAAAAATAGATGAATTAAATTAGTTGTTAAGAGTCATACAGCAAGTCATTGGAAAAAAAATGAAGTAAAATACAAAGCTCATTATCACTCAGCGGTATTGATGAACTGCAAGGTCAGTATTTTCTCTTTGTCATTGGTTATGTGTGCAGATTTCAGTGAAAGTGCTAATCAGGTTAGGTAGTATGATGTGATGCCTGTTGAGGGACTTTTTGTCCCAATTTACTATTAATTTTTTTACTGCTACTCTACAATATGCATGTCCTGGTAGCAAGTTTGTTGAAGCTCTTTGCCTTATGTATAGCTTCTTGAAACATTAAGATTTTAGGCATTTCATACAACCTATCCTCTACAAAGCAGACTTCCATAAATTCTATTATTTTAGCAAGCTTTTTAAATCTCAGTCCCAACAATTTGTCTTTGAGCAGAAGAACTAATGAAACCAGATTTCTTGCAAATTTACAAATTTATGTCTCTGTTTAAAAATTACATGTGGCTGGCCATGTAGCAGCAAGTGGACAGTCCAAAGTTTATGAATGTACTCATTAAATCATAAATATTAATGTACTGATTATCTAACTGGTAGACCAACAAGAAAAAGTTACTAAAGTCCTTACAATAATAATGTTAATGTGGGTATCTCTTTTCAGGCATATTGTAGCAACATTATATTTTGAGATTTGTATTGCCTTATCATTTTGAATATGACATTATTAAATTGGTATAAAAAATCAGGAAAAGAACAATGACAGAGCATCAGCACAATTTTTTCTAGGCTAAAAGATACGTCTTTCATTCAGCAGCATGAAAAACTTTCACGTTTAGTTCTTAAATGTTTCCTTTCAAGCTCAGAAAAAAATCATTTTATGTTAAAACAGAAAAAGTAAACAAGTTTTAGAATCTGCTTGAATTTTTTCTTTTCTCTATTGTCTGTTGCTCACTTTGTAAATTTCTCCATTCCCCTCTTTCCTTTGCTTCTCATCAGCAGTCATTTCACTTTTTTTCAATTTCTTTCTCTCCAGTGTCTGGACCGCTCTTTATTCCATGGACTCCTCTAATTATATTCCATTTCTGTCCTTCAATTCCACTGTTTTCTCAAACTCATTTCACTGTTTTTTACCATATTGCTGAACCATTTTAATGTGAAATATGTTCCTACATTTCTTAGTATTTTCACTGAAGAAAGATAGCCATTCTAATGGTAGCATTCTCCTGCCAATATTTGTCATGCATCACCTTTCACTGCCTTCTAGTAGCTACACTTTTCCACTGAGGTATTTTATGTGTTCTTGACAAACTTCTTGCTTTTAATTTCTTCCTTTGCAGCCTTTAAAAAAGTCCTCTTTTCCTTGTTCATATCTTTTCTGTCACTGTGTCCCATTTTGTGTTCAGTACTCCCTAAGTCCCTTTTTCATTAAAGCTCAGGTACTACCATCGTTCAGGTATTAAAAGTATTTCAAACTTTCTCCACTAGAGCAAAACAATATAATACAAGACTATATCTTGTATCCTTTGCCTATGGTAGGCAGTGCTTTCCCAATATACCCCACTGAAGGAATAGTCTGAGTTTACTCCCCAAAGAGAACATGGTATTCATAGTGGGGAGTGTAAGACATCTGAGATAGCATTGATACCATCTTTTGTGTTTCTTCCAGTACTTAACTATCAGAGTTCAGGAAATTATAATAATGTCATGTTATAGAAGTATAAATACAAAGGGGTTTACCTTTCAAAATTTATTTGGTAAAAAGAAAGACTAAGTATGAAGAAGTTGTAGAAACATTTTTCCACAAAGCTTTTAACCCATAAACACTGAAAATAAAAGCTAGCAGGCAACTAAGTACAGGGAGAAGGTCTTTGTCTATAATATTTCTGTGAATTTAGCTCAGTGTTTCTTAATGCTCAAAACCTGAGCTCTTTTTCACTTTTGATTCAAGTTAACACTCAGTAAAAGCCTGCCTGGATGAGGAATAAATAAAAGATCCAGCTATCTGCATTTTGATCCTTGGAAAGTAACTCCCTGTTTATTCTGTATTTATAAGTCGATATTGCAAGTGAAAAGTTTATCCCAAGCTTTTCCTTATTGCATTCTCCACATCCACCTTAATATTGACCAACAGTTGTCTTTCAGTCCACTTCATGTTAAGAGATTAAGAGGGTTTTCCAGTTTGCTTGGTGGTTTTAGGATATGGCTGTATATCCTACAGTGAATCAAGGTAGTTGGAGATGCGGTTCACAAGTGTGGCCCCAAACCTATTTGTATCAAAGCCTCGGTAGCCGATAAGCTAGTTTAATATCCTGTTCCTAGGAAGTGCTTGTTGAGTGTATGAAGAATTTAATAACTTACAGTCTGCTTAGTGGGAAAAAGTCTGAGGTAAAAACAAGTGACAACTGAAGAACCCACCCTGTAAACATTTGAATGCATTCTATTCACATAACAGTGACCAGAAAAAAAATACGTAGTCTTAACCGGTGAAATTAACTGTGAATATAATATGAGTATTACCATTCAACATTACTAGGCTTTATAAAACACGTTCTGATAAATGCATGTCAAACAAATGCAAGTGGAAGTCTTGCTAACAAATATTTTGTGATGAAGCAAAGAAAAATACAGAATTATATGGTCAGAATTTATGATAATATTAGTAATTATTTGTTACTATGTCCGTGCAACAGACGTCTTTGCATGTCATTTACACATCTGCTTTTCATAAATAACAGTTTTGTTGCCACTGCAGTATCAAATTTGAATCTAATATAGAAGACAAAACCATGTTGAGAAAAGTCATATGTACATTCTGCCAGTCAAAGTTGTAACTTTTACAGCAAAGTTTACAGATTTTTAACTTGAAAAGATAATTAAAATATAATTAAAGCTACACTATTTTTAAGGAGAAAACATAGTTCATTGCTGAAAGGATTGTGAAGCACCAAAGGAAACATCAAGGCCTAATCTAAATGCAGATTCTTTTATTTATGTAATCAGATATTCTAGTAGGACTACCTGTAGGAAAAAGGTGTAGTGGTAATAGTATAAATGCATACACCATTGCAATCTTTTTCCATGAAAAAAATATACTTTTGTGTCTATATCCGCCAGGAAAGATAGTTTAGCAAAGCCCAGTCAAGATAAAGTTAAATTTAGAAACATATTTGTTATAAACCGCCATGTTCCATGGTCCTTGTTTGAATTACCTTCTCCCAAAGACAGCAGTATCATTATTTTAAGTGTGAGATTTGGTAGAGGAAATCAGTTACATCAAAGGTAAAGCTGGATGCAAAAAATTAATAACATAAAAGAAATTTAGCAATTTCATCCTGTTTGTAGATACTTTTGTAGATAATACGTGTTCAAATCTTGACTTGGCTTATGTAGAATAACTTGTCTGAAGATTTTTCTGTGGTGGTTGAAATACTTGATGAAGGTAGATGCATTTTCATGTA